AGCCTGCGTTGTTTTTAAATTTTGCAGTAAACCAGTGGGAGGTTGTGAATAGCCGCTGGAGAATTGTAATTTTTAGATTGTGTAGTTTAATTGTGTTTATTTATGGGAAGAAATAAAGGGATTTGTCCGTCTGCAAAGACAGGAACATGTTTCAAATTTAACGGAATAATACGAAAAAGACACAGAAAAGCTTTAATATAAACAAACACTAAAATATTTCATATTCTGACGTGACACATTCCAGTACACGTGACATATCCAAGTGAATGTGACATATCCAACTGGACTCGACACATACAAGTGCACGTGACATATCCAAGCAGATCAAAGCCTTATCAAGAATGGCACCACAGTAACACATCCGAGTAGACATCATTGTTGGCGTAACATATCCAAGTGGACTCACATTACAGTCAACTAAAAAGACACAGACGGGACTCAACTTACAAACAATCCAATAAGACGGGAACACATCAACTTTTTTCAGTGTCCATTTATCGCACATAGTTTATAGTTTGCTTTATCTACCACAGTTACCAGACTGATATGACACACTTAGCTAATGTATTACCATGATTCTGATGATTATGATGCGTCTGATGATTAAGATGATTCTGATGAGTATGATGAGTCTGGTGATTCTGCTGGCCATGATGATTCTGATAATTATGATGCTTGTAATCATATGATGAGTCTGATGATTATGACGATTACGATGATTATGATAATTATGATGACTATGATGACTATGATGACTGTGATGACTATGATAATTATGATGACTATGATGACTATGATGACTGTGATGACTATGATAATTATGATGATTAGGGCCGCGACAATGCGGCTCAGATGGGTTAGTTTCGTTTCAAGAAATGTGCACTCAGCTGTGATGGAACTTTTGAAGAATTGTAACAGCATTTTTTTTTCCATACACTGTGTTGCTTACAGAGGTATTTGTACCTGATTCAGGTCGATACCTTTTCATCCCACTGTATAAAGTTTCCGTTTTTTTTTTTGTATTCCCTAAATATTATCATTTGCATCAGTTTGAAGCACAGTTTTATGCTCACCTTAATCCCGGCCCTGGCAGCTATACATAAAAATAAAGTTTATATATTTTTTATGTTCTTAACTTATGTCATGGGTTTATATCAGCGGTTCTCAAGCTTTTGGGATCGAAAGACCCTTACACAGGGGTCGCCTAAGTCTATCGTAAAACACATATTTATGAAGTAGCAACGAAAATAATTTTATTTTTGGGGGTCACCACAACATGAGGAATTGTATTAAAGGGTGGCAGCATCAAGAAGGTTGAGAACCACTGGTTTATATTCCCTATGACGTATTCCACGCTGATTTTGATTGATCGATGCAGCCATTGCTGTCTCTCACTGCCACAAACGTAACTTACTTGAATGTACAAATTCGTCCTGAACAGCTCCCTGTGGTGTGAGATTGTTGCCCTGACCTGAACTCTCCCACTCCAGGGCAAGACGGTGGTCGCCGTGTAGCTGCCATCTTTGTTGTCCACGACGTCAGCAGCGATGGACGCGCCGAGTTCGTTCGTGACCAGCCAGACCCACACGCTGTCTCCGCCTTTTGTTGCAGAGTCGATGTGAACGTAGAATAAGAGAGCGGCCTTGTCAATCAGAACGAAAGGAGTTGAAAAACTAACAAAACCAATTAGAATATATTTCTCTTCAGGTTTATGAATTATGTATATAGCAAGGTGCGTTTAATTAAATTAATCCTACCCCAAACCCCCTCCCCCAAAACTCAACAAATATAAATTAACAATTTATAATAAATCTGCTGTATAAAGTTTATGTGATTGTTTTTGTCTGTAGGAATTTGAACGTGTTACTTTATAATTAGAGGACCACATGATGGATCGCAAACAAATCTGAAATGGTCATTTCCTCCAACCAACAGAGTGGTTCCTGGAAAGTTTGGACCAAATCCCTTTATTCCAAAAGCTGTATTTACAATTCTTTAAAATGTATGGTCTAAATCGTACATAACGTTATTCTCAAATGACTTGTAAGTGCCGCGCTGTAAAAATATGAGTCATTCAAAAGGAGTATTTTTTGTTGTTGATTTTCTTGGTTACGCATATTTACTGCCTTCACTCAGAACGATGCGCCCTAAAATATGTATTAGATCATAGTCGGTTTGCGGCACGCTTTTAAAGAAGCATTTTAAAAACAAATATTATTAAAGACGTGTCAATAGGGCGCACTATCAGAAGTTTGCCACGGGTGACATTTGTTCAAGGTATGCCACGGCTGAGGTGATTTTTGTTACATGCATTTTGAATACAGTTTGACTCTATGTTCGCAGAACATTGAGCTTGCAAAAAAAAAAAAAAAAAAAAAAAAAAAATATTGGGATTAACCTTTTAAAAAAAAAAAAATTGAATTTAAAAAAAAAAAAAAAAAAAAAAAAAAAAAATATTTGGATTAACCTTTTAAACAAAAGATTAGCTGTTTAATGCGATACCATTCTTGAAAAATATACGGAAGTACGCGATGTACCATTTTAAGAATGTATAGTTTATTAGGTGGTCTACAGGTAAAAAGGGGGGGGGGTAACATTTGATTAGAAGTTTCACACAGTTTTTTTAAAATAAATTGCATTAGCAAATTTACATAGAAAATGTCTGTAGTGAAAGAAGATTCGCAAGTTAAGATATAGCTACATAAGGAATTTAGCAATGTCTAAAAGGCACGATGTCAGTCTATAGATAATTTTTTTCCTTTTTTAAAATTAAAAATTAAGTAGATGTTGTACATTCATAATCAGATTCTTAAATACCATTGACAATAAGTTTATGTCTCAATTTTATATGGGACCGGTGGGTAGTCTTACAAAGCAATGTAGTGCAAGATACGAAACAAAACAAAAAAGGACAACAAAAAAGGCATAGGAGCCAGAATGATCAATACATTGATCTTGGTCCCTCAAAATATAGAAGAATAAGAAGGATCTAGACGAATCATAGTTAACATGCACTTGAAAAAACTATATTGAAAAACTGGAGTGTGTTTAAACGAAAAATGTTCACCACTTCAGGGGTCAGGGGTCATGATTTCTATTTGACATAAATTAAGCTTGATAAATTTTAATAAAAGTAGGCTCAGAAAACATATAGGCCTCTATATGAATTGATGAGTGCAGCAAAGAAATGGCAGCCTTCCCTGAATATTCCATAATAAAAGATAATTGAAGTTTCATGAAGATCAATTGTATTAAAAGGGTTGTACGATTACATAAATATCCTTTGTAAATGTTTCTTATGTTTCAATAAGTCTGTGTGTTTATCTTCAATGTGATAAAAACTGAGTGACATATTTTAAAGTTTCTAGAGAGTTTCCTAATGGGTGTAGGAGTTTAGAAATTGTATTTCCCTTCAAATAAAATAATACATCAACTATGGCTTGTGTAGAAAAAACTAACATTTTAAAAAAAAATGAGTTTCTTATAAACAAAAGTTGGCTTTTTAAACAAACGATCAAAACCTCTTTAAAGGTATTGATGGATTTAAAATAATAATATCTCAATTTTTTTTCTGGGTTGGTGTAGAGGGCCCAAAATTATTTCTATAGAATGTTATAATGTTCGCGTTTTGCAAGGGATTATAATGAGACCACAATTGAATTTAAATGTCTTTACTTTGTCACATTAAATGCTAAGTGCATTTAAATATTAAAGATTCAGTCTTTGTCTTTTTTTTTTTTTTTTTTGCGTTTGGAGACGCCTTTACTACCATTTTTAAAAGTAACATTTTTAAATATTTAAGATTTTTTTTTTTTTTTTTTTTTTTTTTTTTGCGTTAGGAGACGCCTATACTACCATTTTTAAAAGTAACATTTTTGTCAAATTCCGTTCTATATTTATGGGATAAATTTGAAATGCTAAGTTGACTGTTTAATTGAATTATTTTTTTTATAGAACCTCTATCTTGGGGTTAGCTAAAGTGTCTCTTTTCGCCATAGCTTCAGGTTCATTTAACGTGCCGAATCTTAAAAGCCGATTAACTTTTTAAAACTATATAAAAGTACGCATCCGCCCTCTTGTATTAAAATGGATAGTTTATTTCCCTTATCACTACTTAAGGTCCCTTAAATTTATAAAGACATCTGCGACATGCAGGGTCCTACCAACGGTTCTGTAAAGACTGAAAAGAAGATGGCCATAAACTGGCCGATGGAGTGAGATTAGAATTAAATGGCATGAGTGAGAAAAAAAAAAGCTTAGAAACGAGATACATTGAAGAGTTGTGATTGGTCTATTGTATTATGGGGGAGAACTTACGATACATTTTTTTCAAGAATTTACACCCATTAAATGTTTTGTATTAAATAACGCTTCAGACTTGGAAATTTGGTTCTATGTTTTTGTTGGCATCTGTCCGTCACAATTTGACGATGGTGTAGAGTAGAGTAAGCAGGAAAAAATCTGCAAGGCCTTGAATTATTCTTTTTAGGATTATAATCTGGCTCCCACACAGCAAATCGCCCCTCTCCACGCAGCTGGATAACCCAAGGGAACATCATGGTCCCAGGCACTTTCAGTTTCAAATATCATTTCTCAAAAGTAGGTCAAGAATATTGTTTTAAAAGGTTCTCATAAACTTACCGCTTGTCTTTCTTTCTCCTCGACCGTTGAACAGTAGTATCTTAAACGCAACCTCTGACCCCAAAGTCAGTGAACCGTCGCTTGTATTGGTCAGCAGGTTGATGACTGACCAGTCAGCCGATGCAATATCTGACAAGGTGTACAGCGGGGGTAGGGATAGATATTCCCGTTCCCACGGGTACAGTTCAGAACGAGGTGCGGGTGCCATGAGCTCTGTGTGATTGAAAGCACAGCATCTGGGTGGAATATGGATTATACAAAATTGTCAAGGGTATGGTTAAATGTTAATTCTAAAAGCGTGTAGCTTGTTGGATTTTTTCGAGGAAAATTTGAAGGCGGTCGGGCGAGGGGTGGGGGGGTGGTCTTAGCTTTGGCGTGAAAACGATTGGGGGGGGGGATAATAATAATAATTCTAACGGAAACCGATAAAAGCGAACATTAAAATTTTCGGATGAATGAGGTCACCGGCGAGAAATACACAGCTAGAGAGGGTTTAAATCAAAATTGCACGATACAAATGAGAATAAACTGGTTCCTGGGCCTAGACGTGGTGTTAAGTCTATTTGATGTACACTAAGTTTAAGTTTATTTCTGTTGATTTGTGTTACACGTCATCTAGATGTCCACAAACCTTGCCTTTTCGACACATAACTTTCAACTTGAGAACTGTCACAACCATCATCCACAAAAAAACGTTACGCTAGCAAGACAAAGAGTCACTTTTGCACTTAAGCTAGGGAAAAGTGGCATAGACTAAATGACGCCTTCAACTTTGTAAAATTTAGCAATCATCATTGTTAAGAGACACAACTGAAAGTGAATGTATCAACAATAAAAAAAGCTTGGCCGACAAATTTAAGTGAATACAAGTTTCAAGATTAAAAAAACAAAAAAAAACCAGTTTTATTATGAAAGAAGACCACATTTTTTAAGAAACTATCACACTTAAACGTCCCTTTGAGCCCCCAACCCCACCTCTTGTGTTTTCTGGGGTATTTTGTGAAATAAATCTACGGTGTTAAAAGAGGGTGGGTCATTCGAATATTAATGTAGTTCAGGGCGTGACAAAAAATTGGTTGATTGGGAGGCTGGGGGGGGGGGGGCACTAAATGAGGTTCATATAAATTGCGTTATTTTAATTATTAGTAGGTCAAATAAACAACCTCACCCCCCCCCCCTATTTTTCTAAATATTACATTTTATAAAGGTTTTATACCGAAAAACTTTGTTTTTATGGATTTTTTTAACTATGAACAATGAGAAGGAGGTACTTTGATCCATTCGGTTTTTTTGTTTTTTTTTAATACTAAAATCTTGACATACTCTGACGCCAGGTTCATCCGTTTAAAATCCTCATCGTCCGTCCAGGAGCCTTTAGTGACAGATCTCCAGTAACTAGAAGAGACGGCGTGTACATCTCGGCATGCGCTATTTCGGGAAACCGACACCCTCCTACATCTGTAACAGAAATATACAGGTTAACTGAGTGGTCTGGTTGGGTGGCTGTGGGGTGGTCTGTGGGGTGGGGTGGGCTGTGGGGTGGCCTGGTTGTGTGGCTGTGGGGTGGACTGGTTGGGTGGCTGTGGGGTGGCCTGGTTGGGTGGCTGTGGGGTGGCCTGGTTGGGTGGCTGTGGGGTGGCCTGGTTGTGTGGCTGTGGGGTGGACTGGTGTGGTCTGGTTGGGTGGGTGTGGGGTGGCCTGGTTGTGTGGCTGTGGGGTGGACTGGTTGGGTGGCTGTGGGATGGACTGGTTGGGTGGCTGTGGGGTGGCCTGGTTGTGTGGCTGTGGGGTGGACTGGTTGGGTGGCATTGGGGGTTTAGCTTTGAGGGTGGATTTGTTCTTTCCTGTCGCATTGGCTGTGGTGTGGGCTGTGGGGTGGGCTGTGGGGTGGGCAGTTGGGTGGGCTGTGGGGTGGGCTGTGAGGTTGGCCGGGTTCTTGGTCGTGCCGTTGGATGCTGGTGCCTCTGGTTGGCTGTGTTCCTCATTTAAATGATACATTGTTAACTGTAGATTTGATAAATGTCATGTGAATGCACTGTTAATATACCAATCTACTTCATGTGTGGGATTCCAATTGGCATGTTATCATATCGCCTACTTATTTTTTTTTAATACCACAAAATATTCAAACAGTTTTATTCCTACCACAGCTTTCAAGAGTAAAAAAAAATATTGTGTATTTAACCTTTCCCCCACAAATATCTTTTTTATGACCGGTGTTGAACCATCCAGCAACACTACTGTAAAGCATGTTTATAACCTATTCCTTACTTACTTAAATTCACGAAATGTAATGTAAAAGTTACATTCCAAGAGGCGTGTCTTGTGCAACTTTGTGTCTGAAAATCCCTTATGCAACAGTAATGCGTGCTATCGCGTGGAAAGGTGGGGGGGGGGAGGGGGCAATCCCATAACGTCACTTTTTGCTTACGTGGCGGGGTGGTATTTTCTGCCAACTGCAGTTGTTTTTTTTTTCCAGTAAGGGGGGCGGCAAAAATGTTGGCCCGCCAGGGAGTCACTTACCCTAGTTACGCCACTGCGGGTATTTTTTTTATGCCACCCTATTGATTTGTCAAGACATTTTACCACAAGTTTGTATTGTGGTCTTGTGTACGATGTTGGTGGTATGCTCGCGTTTAAATGCAACGGCATCAACATGACCAATCAACATCTATATAACGACTGTCGTGTGAGGGAATGAACAGTCCTTATCAGTTCGTCTGAAATACCTCTATGGCTGAAGAACAATAGATGTGAAAGATAATCGTATAATCTCCCCACCTGAGCGAGTGTATCTACCGCAGCCACTTACCCACCTGTTAAACTTGTCCTCAATCTCTGCCTGTGTTATACCTGTGTCGGCCAAGGACGGCCAAACCCCTGTATAGGAACTGGTATCTGAGAGAAACGCGGGCTTCGATTCGTGCACTCGCTGATACTCTGAAACAAGTTTGAAACAGTAGGGAAAACAAAATCTGGTGAATGTCAAAAAAAAAAAATAATTAATTAATTATTCAACAATAAACTGCATCTCCAACTAATGTTAAGGAAGTTTAAACAACCATAATCATGGGCGCCCGCAGAAAACTTTCTATGGGGGGGGGGGCAAAAAAAATCTTAACTTTCCAGGGGGGGGGGGGCAAAAAATGTTTAGTAATGTTTTAATATAGTTTTAATTTACTGTAGCATATTTGTATGGTGAACGAACGGACAGGACATCAGCTTAGTTACTTTCTCTTTACTTTCTCTTTATTTTAATAAATTTTGTGTCTATTTTTGTCTAAAAAAATTTTATCCAATCAATCCAGGGGGGTGGCAAGTGCCCCACCTTGCCACTACCTGCGGGCGCCCATGGTCCATAATCGACTTTGTTCACTAGGAACATATCCTCTGTATGTGAACTTTGAATGTCAGACAACTTGATTTAGCAGGATCAAGATTTTGGATTTTACACTTGGCACAAAACGAACTATTGATGAGAAATCCTATCTCACTATACCCCTCATTTTTTTAAATATAATTCGTATGTAGATCTGCCAATGATTCATTACTCGTCATTCAAGTAGGTTCAATTGCTGGTGCATTCATAAAAAGTGGTTTTCTATAAACTGTAACGATGCTATATCCTAACTATATGCACGGTGCAACAACCATATATACACAGCATATTCTTTGCTAAACACGTACAGGGGTTTTTCATTGGTGAATACTTCGCAAGACGAAATCCACAAGTCCTGGGATTATTCTTCTGGGATCATAAGCTGTTTCCCAACAGCAAATCGCCTCCCTCTACGCCGCTGGATAACCCAAAGGAATATTATCTTATGATGATACAGCTTGGCACCAGTGGCGTCGCACGAGTTGTCGGAATGATTCATTTTACCAATGTTATCCGCAAACGGGACTCCATCTCCGGGTTTGAATTCAGAGTTTCCTTCTCTTAGATGAGTTGCCATCCAAGGCTAACGAGTCCCATTCAACCGGGGTGCTGTTGATGTTATTCCTTGACTGTGCTTTTGGCTGGAATTCAACTTTAGACCACCAACTTGAGTTTGGCTCAGTTTAGGCCATTCGGCCAACCAGCACCCAAAGCGGTCCATATTTTTCAAGTCTGACAATTATTATTTTTTTTTTTTCAATTACCTGCCATGTCATAAAATAAGTCTTTAAAATGGAAATTGAAAATTCTCACTTACCATTTGTGGTGGAGGTTATATGGAAGTAAGACATGTCGTAGTACCTGTTGAGAAATCAAGGATCATTGGATGAAGCGGTGATTGTTATCCTGAAAATTAAGGAGACTGTACTCCAGATCAATGGGATATTCCCCCATATCTGGATGATTGTTGTGATTGTTTCGCTAACAATTGACTTCATAAAGTTCATAATTTATATCGTTTTAAGGACGTAAAGTTCGATTCCTTCAATTACTTTCTTTTCGTTTTCGAACCCAGCCACTTCCACAGTAGAGCCGTATCACGGATCCATATCACGGAGCCATATCACGGAGCCGTATCAAGGAGCCGTATCACGGAGCCGTATCACGGAGCCGTATCACGGAGCCGTATCACGGAGCCGTATCACCGAGCCGTATCACGGAGCCGTATCACGGAGCTGTATCACGGAGCCATATAACAGAGCCATATCACGGAGCCGTATCTCGGTGCCATATAAAGGAGCCTTATCCATTACGTTAGTTTGATATTTGTTCATCTGCATAATAGTTTACATATCTTTTAATAATTGTAAAGCACTTAGAGCTGTAAGGTAAGCGCTATACAAAAATGTCTAAATAATAATAATAATAATATCTGGAACACTCCGCGGGCAAAATTTATTTGTTTAATATTTTAAAAAAAACGCTCATTTTTTTTTTCTCGTAATCTTTGAATCATGCAACCCCTGGACAATTCATATTTTGATAAGTCAGGGGTTATGGTGAAATTATTTTGACGTGGAATAATTATGGTGAATATATAGTCAACGAACTTTTTGTGAAATTATTCTAAAAAGGCTTTCTGTGAAGTTATTGCAAAAGGGATTTTGGTGAAATTTCTGTAAAAGGGATTTGGGTGAAATTATTTTAAAATGGATTTTGGTGAAATTGTTGTAAGATGGGATTTTGGGGAAATTATCGTAAAAGGGATTTGTTGAAATTATTTGAAAAGGAATGTTGGTGAAATTATCATAAATGTATTATACATGAAAAAAGAATGTATGGTGTAATTCTAGTATCAGGGATTAATTATGGTGACACTATTGTGAACTTTTTTAATCATCGTGAAATTATTTTATAAGGGAATATGGTTGAATTATTGTATAGTATATAAGTTATGGTTAAATTGTGATACAAACTAAATTTCTAGAAATACATCTTTAGTTTTCCAAGTTAGTGTTGCATTCCTATAATATTACACCTAGTCTGTATAAGATGCAGTATTGCTTGGCAAAATTCAGTGTAAAAACTAAAAAATGTATAGCTACCTGGTTATTTAGCAACTTAACATAATCTGGATGGTTCTAGAAATGTGAAGAGACTGGGCGCCCTGATTTATTTTCTATTCATTTCGGAGCACACTAGAATAAATCAATCACAGCATACTAGTGACGCCCCCCACCCCCACCCCCAACTGGCTAGGGGCTCCAATGGTTACATGTGTTAACTTCTTCACTACAACCTTGCCCTTGCTTTCCAGCCTCCAACTCCCCCNCCCCCCCCCCCAAAAAAACAAAACAAACCATCATTACTACTAATAGGTTATTTTAATTATTAACCATTAGAGATCAAACAATTTTAGGATTACTGAGTAAAGACAATCGAATGTATCTACTTGAAATGTGGAGAAGATTTACATTTACAAATTTATTATTTTTTTCAACTATAAAAAAAACCTCCGTAACCTGTAACTAGTGTAATCTTAAAGCGTTCTGCCACAAGAAAATAACGTGTCACAGAATATAACAGTGTAACCTTAAGGCGTTCCACCACAAGAAAATAATGTGTCACAGAATATAACAGTGTAACCTTAAGGCGTTCCACCACAAGAAAATAACGTGTCACAGAATATAACAGTGTAGGCGCAATGGATCGAGTCGCTTAATTTGGTCTTTTAATTACAGTCTGTTTGGCTACTTCCACTATTTCGAAATGATAATAACATTTCATCGTAATTTAAAGGATAGTTCAATAGTATCATGTAATTAAAAATAGATGATAATTATGTTTTTTTAATAAAATACTTACAAAAAAATAACGTATCTAACTATTATATTGTACTTACAATAGAGTGGCTAGCTCGATATTACATGTATTTTTAATAGATATAATTCATTGATTTGGTCATGTACTTTCAATGGTTTGCTTAGCTCAAAATTATAGTGTACTTACCCTATTGGTAGCTTAAATAATTATGTACTTTCGATAGATAGGGTAATGCAAAATTATCATGTTATTACAATAGACAGATAAGTCAAATATCATAATGGTATTATAATAAATATTCATAAAGATTAGTTAACGTTTTTTTCAAGTAAAAGATTAATATTTATAATAGCAGTCTATATGGTTTTTTTTTAAAAGATATTATTAGGTTTTTTTTACCACAGAAAAATTATGTTTGCAATCAAAAACTTTATATAATATTCACTATGCAACCTGAGAAAAAATAAATTCAAATTTATTACGAGGAGGAAAATATTAATGTATGTATGTCTGTCCTTAGATAATAATAGTCAAAGAAATCTCACCTGTACGAGAACAGTGTCAACGCAACAGACGCGATCGTCACCACCAAATACAGAATCTTCTGCCTTGAGATCATTATCTTCCCTGTGCAGAGGGAAAAAAAGTGGGGAGGGGGGGGGGAGAGGTTTCTTTAATAAAGCAATGAGGAATATATAATGGTGCACCTCTCTGGTTGAACAAAAGCTTTAACCAGGAGTGGGCCGTACCAGGCAGGAAACTGTGTTGAGACCTGTACGAGAACAGTGTCAACGCAACAGACGCGATCGTCACCACCAAATACAGAATCTTCTGCCTTGAGATCATTATCTTCCCTGTGCAGAGGGAAAAAAAGTGGGGAGGGGGGGGGGGAGAGGTTTCTTTAATAAAGCAATGAGGAATATATAATGGTGACCCTCTCTGGTTGAACAAAAGCTTTAACCAGGAGTGGGCCGTACCAGGCAGGAAACTGTGTTGAGACCGAGGAGTAAATATTTATTTTCAGAAGAACTAGCCTACATGTATTTTTACTGGCGACGGTGCATGACGAAATCACAAGGTCTGGGATTTTTTTTCCCCTTTAGGCCGGTTTCCTACACAGCAAAAACGCCTCTCTCCACGCACCGGGACAACCCAAGGTAACATCAGATGTGGACGATACAGCTTGGTAGCAGTTGCGTCGAGGGATTTTGTGCGGAAATTTTCATCGTATTAATGTCTCCGCTTATCGATGATAATATTTTAACAATTTTCAACCAAAGACTTAAAGGCAAACCAAACCATATCTAAAAAAAATTATTTTCTTTCCCACCCCTTCTATCACCTTAATTTTTGGCACACCCCCCTCCCCCTGTATCCTCTTTGCTTTTTAGACATACCGTCCCAAAACACGAATTCATACAAATGAGCTTTCCTCATCCCCCTCCCATAAGCCCCTGTTTTTATTTATTGATGAACACTTGTGACGAAATAATCCTTAAGATCGGGAGATTTGAGACAGGCTTTATTATGGCCGAGTTCCATCCCGGACAAATGTCTGTGAGCTTCTACTGCGCTCCAGAGCCGCTCACAGGTCCGGCGTATTAAAATGGGCGGTGGCTCCTTGAATGTGCTGCTGTTTGAAGAAATGTGTTGATTA